TTTTTCTCTTACTTTCTTTTTTCTGTGCTCCCCATCTCTCCTTGCAGTGTACCATCTGCTGATATTCATCTCAGTGTAAGTTTTACATTTATGACTCGCTCCTAGGAAACCTTAACTTTCGTTTCAGCCGGACGAGGAGCCATTGAGAGTAACGCAAGTTCAACTACTAGACGAACCGCTGTCCAATCAGCAGTCAGCCGTTTCCATGGCAACACTGCTAGCTAGGGTGCATATGTGGATGAAGAAGGCAGAGTTTATGAAGGGACCGGTGACAGTACACTGCATGTAAATATACGACTTTACCCTAATTAACTATATAGCTGTTATAATAGCATTAGAAGTTCATAGTAGCATTACGACTGAGTATTGACTGGGGAAAACATTCAACTATAACAAAATAGAGGATTACACAACAACAACAACAACAACAACAATAATAATAATAATAAAGTAGGAACCTCCGTCCGAATTTCATATATTTCCTATTTCGCAGGAACGAGGAAATGGAAAGCCGATTAATGAACTAATTACCTAACGATGTGTTGTATCATAGGAACGGTGCGTCATCAGCCGGCATCTACTGCGTCTGCAGCTACGTGTTTGATCAGATAGCTGCTGAGGAGACGGTCGACATCCTGAAAGCTGTCAAGGTCGCGAGGTCAAGCCGACCTCAGTTCATCGAAAACTTTGTGAGTGATTGATGATAGAGTAGAGATAGAGTGAAAGTGCGTGTAAGAAAGAGAGAGAGAGAGAGAGAGAGAGAGAGAGAGAGAGAGAGAGAGAGCGGAGAGACGGTGGAGGAGGAAAAGAGATCGAGAGAGGAAAGAGAGAGAGAGAGAGAGAGAGAGAGAGAGAGAAGAGGGGGCGCGACCAAGAGAGAGAGAGAGAGAGAGAAAGAGCGGATAGACAGTGGGGGAGGAAAAGAGATCGAGAGAGGAAAGAGAGAGCGAGGGGGGAGAGAGAGAGAAGAGGGGGCGCGACCAAGAGAGAGAGAGAGAAAGAGAGAGAGAGAGAAGGAGAGGGAAGGAGAGAGTGTGTGCGAGCGTGTGTGTGGGTGTGTGCATGCATGCGTGTGTGCGCGAAGAGCAGAGAGAAAGAGCTTTGTTGCTTCCGATGGAAATGATCATCACCTGCTTACAAGTGTTTGTTGTTCGCAGGATCAGTACAGATTCTGCTACGACGTGATCAAGGAATACCTGGAATCATATTCCGTGGTGTGATGCTGATCACATCACGGCACGTGGAGAAGCTGGTACCTTATTATAGACTAAACGTGGTGCTATATAGTAAGCAGTGTAACAGTCAGGAGATATAAAAATTATAGGCCTACACACTATTTTACATATTTACCTATCAAACAGCACGCGCGTCGTATCTGTTGCTATACTGTATAATTAGTGACCTTTCTGTGCAACACAAGAGTCAGCGCGAGGTAATCGTCATTGATTTCTATGCGAAATGATTCTTACGAATGTGTTGAATTTACCACTGTGTCAAATTTGTATTCATGCAAGTATTTAAACGTTAAGATATATTATTGTAATTTTGAGATGCAGTTTATTTATTCACCCGAATGACGTGGTAGTATTTTTGTTTCTGTTTCGGTGAGGCTTCCATGTTAGTGTAAGATAATCAGACGCAGTTGGTAAAATGTGTTTTTGAATCCACTTATAATAGCTACAAGCTCTACCTACTACTATGTTCTTACTCGGTTAGCGATATCAACAGGGCAGCTTAGATTTAGTAGTTATATTTCATATAAGAATATGGGGATCTGGACATGGAAACCATATACAAGACTAGGTCCGTCGGCTCCACTTTAATATTTATAACCTTAAGAATTTATACAGCATTTCGTAAACACATGCGAATGTCGAATGGAACCTTTTTCTGAGCATAACTTTCAGGCCTCAAAGCCGTCCACCGTCGCCCATCGCGTCTCCCTCCCAGAGAGACAACCACAACCATCCCCCCTCGAGATGTCGGTCGCCAACCTGCAACAGTTCGTGCGTGTGCGCGTTTGCTGCCATACCGTCATCTCTGTGGCACCGCATCACTAAGCATTGTTTTTAGAATGTCGTAGTACAACACTGATTGGCTACATCTGCCCGTGAATTGCAGGATGGGCAGATGGATGGTTTGCGAGCGAGCGAGATACGCGTGGCCACGTGTTCTCCATGACGCACAGTCGGCGGTAGATGCAGAGCTATAGATCTCTGTGTGTTTTCTCGCGACAGTGCGGGCATAGCGGTTACATAGTAGATTCAGAGCTGTAGATCTCTGTGTGTTTTCTCACAACAGTGCGGGCATAGCGGTTACATAGTAGATTCAGAGCTGTAGATCTCTGTGTGTTTTCTCACGACAGTGCGGGCATAGCGGTTACATAGTAGATTCAGAGCTGTAGATCTCTGTGTGTTTTCTC